GCCTTTCATCTTCAGAGGAACTGGGATGATGGCCGTAAAAGGGTGAGTGTAGGCTGCAGTTTGGTAGAAGTTCTGACAGGGTATTGATTTTCAATATGCACAGTTCTCCATGTCAGCAAAAACAGATCATTACACTTTTCTGTGACATTCATAACTAATTTAATGGTAGTACTGATATAAAATGCTATTTAAGCCATACCCATTTTATAATTGAAGTCTCAGTTCAAATGGTGACTGTGGTAATCTATTTTTATTTCCAAAATGGGCTTTTTGACTTCGTACTCAGTTGCAAAGTCATTTATGCCTACAAATATGCATTTCATAAAGAAGTGATTGGGGTTTATTCATAAAGAAATTATTGGGGATTATTAAAAACTCAAATAAAACTGTCAAAAAAGAAAAATATTTGCTATAATTGGGTCATCCTTTATTACATTTTTTTCCTCCAAAAGGGTATGTGTATTTTTGAAAGCTTTTTTTGTTGCGATTTATCACACAAAATATTCCAAATATAAGACAAAGCAACTAAACTTTTCAATTGAACATGAAATCACCACACTGTGATTTTGTGCCTGCACAGGCAAGGGATATCCGTGACACTTGAAAGAATGTTATGCATGCCAGGGAGGTCCCAGGAACTATACAATACTTCAGTATATAGAGGATTGCCCTTGGTGGCTTCCTTCTAAAGCACTTCTTTTTATGTTTTTTTTTGTTTGTTTGTTTGTTTGTTTTTGTTTTTTGTTTGTTGTTGTTGTTGTTGTTGTTTTTTTAAATGCAGAGATCTTTTATCACTGAAGCTAATTTGCAGACTTACTTTGCAATTTTTGTTAGATATACTTTCGTGTTGAGAGTTCCAGCCTTCTTGCACCTTTCAGTTATTTAATTATAAAAGTAATATCTACCCAGGAAACCAACACATATGTGAAATTAGAATGATGCCGAAATTATTTGAGTTTAATGGCTGCATTGTCCACATTCACTGTTGCAGATTCATTATTTTCTTCTTGAAAGTCACGTAATTAAAAGGCTGTTGCTGCTGGAATCCAAAATATTTGTGTCACCCTGTCCTCTACAAATACAATTCAGGAGCTGACAGGAGATAAGATAAAAGTCAATAAAAAGAGAATTATTTATTAAAAAGATCTAATGTTACAAGAACAGTACACAGGAACTATTATATTACTGTGTCTTCCACATCGTATATACCATTATATATAGCATATATACAGATTGTATACAATATATCTAACATTTTGATATGGGTCATGACAGTATCTTTCTTTTGGTCTGCAAAACAAAGTTTCTTTCTAATAATTTTTTTCCAAACAGATCTTGTGGCATTATACAAAAATACAGTCTCCTCAGTGACGCTAGACTGCACTATTACAATCTTTTACATGAAAAAGGAAGGAGCTTTCCTTTGCAACTAAAAAATAGTATGTCATGGTAAGGAAACATCTTCTTCTACAAAGTAACAAATAGGTAATACATAGGTACGTAAACATTTAAAACATGTTTATTAATATATTTAAGATGCAAAATACATATTCTGTTCATGTTGAATATAAAACATACCCCTTTTTTGTCCCTGCAATACAACTACATTACCTGATGGTATGTTCAGTATTTCTATCTGTATCTTGATACTAGAGATCGAGATATATCTAGATGCAGCTTTATCTCCTTATCAGACTTTCATTCTTCTTATAAAGCATAGCCATTTATTGTATTCAGAGATTTTTTAACCAAAATGCCACCAGCAGTGACTGTAGCCCGTTTGAATACTCTGAAATAAACTGCATTGGCAAGCAACAGTATAAAAAATAGAGGAAATTATGCTTAACTAATTTATAAAATACCCATTTTGCTTTTTGGTTCATCACTTTATTCTTGTTTATTTTAACCTTTTGAAAAATGGTGGTTTGCTAATGCAAATCCTCTGCACAGTAGCAATGCCGTTGTTTTACAAATGACAGCAGGTAGTTCTCTCCTGTGAGTTTGCTCTATCAGCAAGATACATTCCACCTTCCTTTCTTTGATCTCAAAGGCTTTTCCAGAAGCAGAGATATAGAAGCTCTCCTTCTGTCTGTATCTACAGTCTATGCTTAGTTAGCTATCGTGCCTTTGTTTTCCTAGCAACACGGTGAATAAATAAATTTAAAACCCGTTTTTTAGAAAACTATTTAAAATGATAGTGGGTAATAAAGATTTGAGTTGAACCATCTCTGAAAAATTTTACTGATAAAATATTCAAAAGAAAAAAGAATTTAGTCATCATTTAGCTTTTTACATACCAAGCACTTGATCTGTGTTGTGCTTTCTTGGCTACTATTTTGAAGCTTCTAAGAAAGGGCACAGTTAGAGTGCACTAGCTAAATGCCAAGTCTTATTTTGCTAGTGAGCTGGCAAAATAATAGCATTTTAGACCCAGAACCCAGCAACCAAAATAGATTTGCATCAAAACTTTTAGAGGGATGGACAGCTAGAAGAACTATGCTATTATGACTTGCCTGTTAAATTCTTTCGACTTGATTTTTCACAGGCAAGGGAATGTTCATCCTAGGCATGATTCCTAGACACATGGTAGTAAAACACCCTCCCTCATAGCACCGTGCACACCATAATTGTACAAACGCACACACCATATACCCTGGGGATCATTTTGTTTCAGGTGTCAATATGTGGAAAGGCCTTCCAATGTAGAAAAATTGTCCAAATTGTCTATTTATTGAAAAATTGTTTGGTACAGCAAGAAGTGGGGATTAAAACTGATAGCAGACAGTCCCTACAAGAATAATCTCTAGTGAGCTATAGAAATAGAGCCAATTAGCTAAATAACCGGAATGATGCTCAGTAGCACTTATCCAAGTATTTTTTTTTCAGACACAGCATTCTCCACAATATATCTTACTGGAGTCTGTAGATATGTGAATGATTACATTATAAAAAATGTTAATATTGTCTCCATAATATGCTTCCATATATACTTCAACTTGATTACCAAATATATAAAGCAAAGAATGTTACTAATAAATGGACCAAGAAGAAAAAAAAAAGTTACAACTGAGAAGTGGTTGGAAAAAGTATGTTTATCTCCTTGCATTGCTTTATTTGTCCACTTAGCAGCCTAACGTATATCATGTTTAAATGCCCAGTGGAGTTTTTATTGTCATATGCATTAGGAATTGATTTTTTATTTGCTATTGAAAATAAATATTTGATTCATTTGACATTAAATCTTGTGGTATTTGTTAAAAATCAAAGTTGTTTCCTTTTAAGTTTGTGTTTAATCATTTTCCATTTACCTTGCAATGAAATAAATGGCTTTTCTGCTCCATTTTGCCACTTTCTGAGTGTGCTGTCTAGTATTGTATTGACAATACTTTTTGCTAATTAAATACATATTCATATGTTTTCAGAACAAATTCTCTGTACTTTTGCAGTGGGCTGTGTATCTTTTTTCTCTCTTGTCAGTAGAACCAGACAGCCATAGGGGATGCAAGAAAAATATTCAACAAAGCTGTACCAAACTTTGTTCTATTTGTTCTGTTTGTAGATCTATAGATCTATCTATAGATCTATCAAATCTATAAAAAAGGATTTTTTTTCCCAAAGAAAACAGATGTACTGTACTAGACACCACTGTTTAAACACCTAATGATACATGACTGGTGTCACCAAAATCGAACATATTAAAAAAGTAAAGTACGTTTGACAGAAATTACCTTTGCTTACAAAAGTTTATTACATACAATCTGCATATTTTTGGGCCAAGAAGTGTCCCCTCCCCAGAGGACTTTTACAAATAAAGAAGAGAGAAAAACCTGATGAATTATTGACTGTGTCTCCAACACTCCTCTAAGTGCACCACGGGTATTTCTATGGGTCTTTAAGCATTAGCTTGGGTTTCCAGTTTCTCCACAGACATAAAACTCCATCCCTTGGTGTCATCAAGCTAAAGCAAACAAATAACAACAACAACAAAGTCTGCAGTCTTCACCACGAGGCTGAAGGAACCATCAGTGCCAAAAGCAATGTTACAGAGGACGAGGAAGTGGACAACACATGTAAGGTGGATTGAGCACTTGTTACTTTCCCTCCTGAAATGAAAAGCAAAGTAATTAAGGAACAAATGATGCAAATGGTTCTCAGTACACTTTGGTACTAGATTTTGCCCAAAACTTGTATTCTATTATGCTTAGTAAAAGCCTAACTTTTAGGCAATGGATTACCTTGTGAGAACCGCAATCACAAAATAGGCTCCCTACACAAACATACGGAAATTGAGAACTTTATGATGATACCTACAGAAACCCATGTGCTGAATCCTCATATTTAGTCTGCAAATGAATAGGAAATTCCAAAAGGGTATGTGATTTTATGCCTTAATCCTCAAAAAGCATTAGGCCGCGGAAGATGCCCGAGTCACAATCACAGATCGTTTTTTCTGGAACAAGGAATGAAAGCTAGCCCTTGAACTTGATGTTTGTCCAGAGGAAAAAGTGTTCTTTTGCCCAGTAGTCCAGTGATGTTTTTAGATCACAGCAGTCCCTTAAAAAGCTGTGCTAAGGGGAAATGTGCTATGGGCTGGTGATGGCAACAAATGACAGGACAGGAAGGAAACTAGAGTGGGTTTCTTTGAACCACAGTTGTCCTAAGTGGAACTGATGTGCTGTGCATAGTCTAATCAAAAATATCAGTTTAGAGGGAATGAAAGATTTTGCAGCTTAAAGCCATGGCTCAAAAGATACATGAAACAAATATTCCGTGGAATAGGTGTTGACATCTTCTGCGTTCTGATAATAACACTGTCGTTTGTGACTAGACGAGAGCTGAAATTTTAGGTCTAGATGGAAGTTTCAGGCTCATACCTTGAGGATAGTACTCCTTAAGGACGAAAAAGCAATGCTTAGTAGAATTTTAGAGTGTTAGCAGAAAGTTAGAATTAAGATGCCTTATTGTGTTTAGGCAAAAGGCAATGTTATTTTCTGGTTGTTCTTGTCACTAATCCTTCCATCCCTTTCTTACCTGTGTAGTATTGATACTTTAAATTCTTTCAGCGTACTTCAGTAACTGAGGAAATAGAAGCTAGACATCATAATCTACTTCATGATAATACATTAATACTGTAATGTGTTAATAATTTAATAAAATGTTATTGACTCAAGAGAGTTAATGGGACCTACAGAGAAATTTGACTTATTCTAAAGCAGGCACATACACAAGGTTCAGCTACCTAAATGCATGCCATTTTAGCTGTCTTAGATAGTACACCTCTGACTCGTGGTCCAGAACGATGTGCGTATCCTGTAAGTCCCACATCATATCTGCCAGCGCTATGCAAATATTTGGGATACCTTAGGACATCTCAGATATCATTATGTGCCTATGTCTGAATATTTAAATTCCGAAGATCAACTCAATTGCTGTCTAGGCGCTACTGTCGGTTTGTATGGATTACATCTCAGCTGATTATAATGCTATTTGAGACAGCCAGTGCATGTGTAGTCATCTACAACTCAATTAGGTTTCCAAATGTTATCCTAGAAAGGGAGAGGTTTCCTGTAAATCCTCTGCTTTGTTCATCAGCCGCACATGGATGCCTCAGATGATACTCCTGAGCATCTCAAATGTCACTAGGTACCTTTGTTTCAGCATAGAACTGAAGACTCTGATTAATGATTTTATCTAATAGCTAGAGAATTGTGAGAATATTTTTTTCAGATAGAGAATAATAAAGTTAATGAGCATTGCTATAATCACCACTCTTTGAAATATAAGTGTAATCTTACCTGAAAAAGATGGAACTCTGATCTGGGGACTTGCAGTCCCGTCCCCTCCTTCACTGACTGCACAGACTTCAATGATGTAGACACCAACATCAGGAAGAAGTACCACTGCAGAGGTTTTCTGTGTTTCTATAACTTGACTGTTGCTCTGCCCTTCTTGCCTGAATAATACCTATGGTCAATAAAGTAGATTGCGGTCATTCAAGTTATGTACCAGACATTTTGTGTAGATTACACAGTCACTGAAATGTTCACTCTTTCATGCTTTCATTAAGAATTTCTTGACATTACATTTGAACAGTCACCTGCTTTTACTCTTCTCTCCCCCCAATGGCTTCAAAACATTAATAGCAAAGTAGATTAACAATTAATGAATGTGAAAGGACATTGATTATGATCCAGAGTGAAGATGTAGCATTTGCCCTCTCCAGCTCTAGGTGTTAAGGAATTTTTTCTTCAAAATGCATTTTGTGTTCCATTTGATTCAAATTCTTATCCCTAAATTCATGTAGATATTCACAGTTTTGGCTAAAGAACTCAAATTCAAAAGTTAAGAAAATGGCCTAAATAATGCCCTTGGTGTGATTACCTTAGCTGACTAAGTCAACTGAGAATAGCTCAGATCTGTCCCTGCATCTGCTGTGAAGCTCAATATAAGCTTATGGTGCATGGCAGGAAAGTGAGTATAGCACTATCTTTTTGATACTTCTGTGTAAGAGTTTCTGTTCCCAGACAAAATTGAAAAGGTCAGAGAGGTGTAAAAACCCAAAGTAGTCAACTCAACTTTTTCAGAATCTCAACGATTCTGATAAAGATTAGAGCAGTTTCTGGTTTATTTGAACAGTTTTACACTTTCTTGGTGATATTTCCTGATGTATCAGAGGAATATCAGATTGTAGTCTATAGAAATGGTCGTATATATTCTTCAAAAAAACCCCCAACCCATACCTCTGTAAAAACATTGAAATCATTCTGCTTTGATTTAAAAGATTGCAGTGGATTCCACTGCCTTTTATGACTTGTTATTTAAGAGTTAACCTGGATTTTACTCTTTAAAACTTCAAAACTTTAAATGTCAGATGCTACCGTCACTGATTGTTGAACATGACTAACATGATTACAAAACAAACCGAAGTATTTGTGTTTCTACTCCATAAAAATATTAATTTTAATGTCATTTTGCAATGCCTCATTCTTCTGCATTTCTCTAAATCCTACTGCAAACACAGTTAAATTGAAGTGTTAGTAGAAATTTCATTGCAGGCTGGTCTTATTAACAGCCACTTCTGAGTCAGATATGATGAACTGATACCCTCAGATAGAGCTTACTCTGTTTATAATCAGTAGTTGAAAATCACAACACAGAAAATATTGGGACATTTTGCTCTTTTCAATTTTATTTAATGCTTTTCATGGTGAAAACTGATTGCAGACAGTCTGTACAGCATACTTTATTTACACAGAAAAACAAGAAAGGGAAAAACAACGAGGAAGAGGAATAATCATTTGGAAGAGAGAAAGGTGAGCAAGGAAGGGGAAGCACTGACCTTGTATCCCATTACATCAGATTCATTAGCTAGAGGTCTGACTGGCTCCCACCCAAGAGACACATGAGAACCATCCTGTATCCACATAATATTGCTTGGTGCTTGGCTGGGAGCTGAAGAGAAAAAATAACATGTACATAAATATATTTTATAGGTAGTTTCTTTAAAATAAAAAAAAAACTACTTCATTCTTTCATTACATTTACAACTGGGTTTGTTAGCAGGCTCCCAACTCTAGCTGGAATTTTTGAAGATTTTTTTTTTTGCACCAGAATTGTCATTTAATAGATTATGGTGCATTTACTCAGCCCATCCCATAAACTCCACAGAGCTTATGAACTTGAACTCTTTTCTCTCCCTTTTTGTTCAAAAATTCCTTGTTTTCTAGGAAGATGACCTTTGTTATGAATGCAAAGTCATATGAATTCATGTCTAAATATCCAAGCAAAGACATGAATCAAAACTATACACAATTCCTGATTATTATACACTCTTGTTAAAGGAAAACTCAGGAGGGCAGAGGTTGCTCCCCGACTTCTCCATTTGAGCAAAGGTACTGAGATCACTTACGAGACTTCTTGGTTGCTGCACGCACAGCAGTGCTAGGTGGTCCATACCCTGCAGCATTGTACGCCCTCACCGTTAGGTGATATAATGTGTTTCCTTCTAATCCTGTCAGGAGGATGGATGACTCATTTCCCTCAGTTTTGACCTTTTCTGCTGCTTCTTCCTGCTCCATGTCCTTCCAGTAACCAACCTGCCAACAAGCGACCAAACAAAGGATTAATATAGGCATCTTGGAAGTTCATGCTTCCAGATACTCGTACTTGTTATCCTGTGGAGGATCTTTTTGCCATTTCTGCCTTTTGCCTGATTGCCAGGCCCTTTTAAACACGTGGGATTTGCAGCCTAACCTCAGAGCCAAGCAATGCTTACTTCTCCAAAATGGTGAGACTCAGAATACCACAGTATTACCTGAAGCACCTTGAATTGCTGTGTACCGGCACGAGAAGATGTAACTACAAGATGGAAGAGCAGAAGACGAACATCAGCAGGGAGTCAAAAGTATTTCAGAGAATTCAATGAGAGCTCATCCTCTGGTAGGTCACCAGAATATCTGCCTTTGCCCTGGAAAGCTCTGACCACATCAGTTAAGAAGTGGTGTGAGTAATATTCCCTTCCTGTCCTGTGCAACTCAGAGTCATGAGATTTCTTATTGATGCAATGAATGGGAAATGACGCAACACTAAAGGAAATGTTTCATTCACCTGAAAAATCTTATCTGAAGAAAAAGAAGGAAGTGGATTCGGTTTTTGTTCTTGGATATAAATGGGCTTGTGGTAAATGCAGTTTTGGTAGTATGTTTATGCCCTTCCTTTTCAGATGTGAAAACCCTAAATGATCTTTGGTGGTTCTTAGTTCATATTTCTGGTATCTGCACTGAGTTTATCATAATCTCAAAGAGATTATAGAGCTGAGCTAGGGATTTGACTAGTCTCTTTCCTCAGGGACCAAGTATTTGCAGGGTGTAACTGGAAAAAAGCAGTACTGTCTCTTTTTAATGTATCTAGGTGACCTACACAAGTAAGGTAACTCTCATGGGGTCCTATTTTCCCTAACAGGAGATGTCACTAATGTGCCATTCAAAGACCTATACTCAGCTTACCGTTATTCATGCTGAAACCTACTTGCATTTATTCCACATTTTGACCTTTTCTGTGAAGTTGGTTATTTCATAGTAAGTTATTAATATTATATCTGGATAACTTTTCCTCTGAGAAAAAGGTCATGGACAATACAGCACTCTTGTGAATGTATCCTAGAAAATGGCGAACCAAAAAACCAAGGGGTTCACAGGAAAATAAGACCAATGAGTACAATGCTGACCTTTTATAATTGCTCTAGGACTGCCATTAAAAAAAAATAAATCTAGAAAGACCTGGCTGCAAAAATATACATTTGAGGTCATATCTTCACTTGAGTAAAGTGGCTCTGTTAACTTCAATTGAGAGTATATCAGTTTGTGCCAACTCAAAGTCTACTCTTTCAGTTGTAAAAGTCATGTAAATATATTTTTTTGTGCCTGCATTATCTCATGTTAAAATGCTGTTGCTTTAATTCTTAGGTTAATTACAGCTCAGATAGCAAATCTAGCAGCAGTCATCACTCCTTGTTGAAATAAGTGTGATTCACTGAGGTATTTTGCTAGCTGAATGCTTAACCAAGCCGGTTGGTATCTGAAGTAACACCTAGTCACATCTTTCTTGAAAAGAAAAAAAAAAATCAACAACTATTTGTTCACACACTAAGGTTGAACCTCCAATGCTTATTATCTCTTGAGCAGTCAGATTCCTTTCATTTTACTTGCAATGCATCTTTATAAACTTGACAGTACAGTGAGGAGAGCCACATAGTATTAAGCACTGTACGAACAGGTAGTGAGAGACAGCATGTGTCCTGGAGATCCTATCATCCAGTTAGTGAAGTCTGCTGAGGATCCAACAGGGAGATGGTCAGAAAGGAAAGGTCACCTGTCCAAGGTTACACACGTGGACAGTAGCACTGATGGAAATGCAACTGGAGTAGTGAAATCCTGGTTCTACAAAGCCAGAGGCAAAATTATAAGTAGCTCGATAGATCTCATTGTTTATTCACAGGGCACACCACGTCTCATGTGAATGCAATGTGCAAGACAGTAGATAGCCCCCAGCTTTTGCACTGCAGCTTTTATTTTAGCATAAAGAAGTCGTAAAAACCTGATTTTCCAAATATTGGTGTTAGGACTACATATATATTAAAACCTGATGAGTGTGGAAGAAAGCTAGGAGCATAAATCAGCCTTTGGAGATTTTTTGTGTGTTTGGAAATGCTTTCCACCATTGCTTATAGGGAATTATCAGTTTGGATACTAATTATATTTTGCATATGTTAAGTCTCGAAAAAGAACCATGGCATGTTCCCTACCAGTTCTGCTGCACCACATGGCAAAGGGGTGTTCTTGGGGGAAGGAACATACTGTATTAAGCACCAAAAGCATGAAATGCAATTTGGCAATGCTTCAATTTCAGTTCTCCTGTACTTCAAAGCCCTTAAGTGTTTGGTCCTTGCTTTTAAAATTCCCCTTAAAGTTTTGCCAGGTGAGTTTGGACTTTGATCTCAAAATATGCTTTTCTCTTTCTTTTGTAATGCACACATCCATTTGTTGATGACCAAATGAACTAAAGAAGAAAGTGGTTATAAAAAAGAACTCCAATGACTGTTGACTGAGGTCGATGGTGGGGGAACTTATATCGATTTGAACCAAAATAAAGGTACTGCTGATGTTTAAAAGTGCTAGACATATTTCTTAAAACAGAGTTTGTTTATTTACACTACTATGTGTTTGTTTTTTTTTTTTCTTTAAATCTTGCTATTTTGTGTAAGCTTACTTTATACTGCTCAGAAGGGATTTGCCACACTTAAGAGTAGGTCTTCATTAATGACAACTTTGAATATCGATATAGCATGAAGCATATTTGAAAAATGAAAGAAAAGAGGGGGAAAAAGCATTTGGTCTGTTTAATGCATTATTGTTTGTGAGGTTTTAAATTTTTTCTGGGCTTTCTGTTGTTTTCCATTTACCAACACCAACAGTACCAACATAACTGAAAATGAAGAGATCTGAGAGTACAGAAAGTGCTAGGGGAGGAAGAGCAGTGAGCTGAAAGAACTGCTGCTAGCCCTGAAAAAAAACCACATCATGATTCAGATTTCATAGAAACTGTTTTAATTATTATTATCAAAAAACCTATCAGCACCTTGAACTGGCACACGAAAGTCATGCAAATGTTGGTGCAATGGTAGAACCAAGCGCTTAGGACAGGAGGAGAGGTGCTTTTTGTATCATCTCAAGAAATTGGTGTGACTCCTTCAGAACAAGAGCAAAAAAGGTCAATCAGCCTCAGCTCCTTCCCTCTCACCAAAACAACTGCTGACTGACAAGAAGAAAGAAAACACTGTTCAGTACTCCTAGGTTCTGGGGTCTTCTCTGGAGTAGCTTGCATCATCCATCTCTTTCCTCAGGTACTCTCTTCTCCCACATAGTCCTGCACACACATGGGATGAAAACTAATATTGTACCTCAACCTTGAGGACTATCATCAAATATCTAGTCATATTTTCTTACGAAAAATCAATAATTATCTAGGTTTCTGATTTTAGGTAATAGAAAGCTAGTAGTCTTGTAACAAACTGTTCATGATACAGACATTGGAAAGGGTCTGGCTCTCTAGAGGCCCTCATGAGAGATCTGGGGTGTGAACCATACCTTAAGGACTTCAAAATCTGTAGTACTGCTCTGCTATAAACTCCTGTTTATAGTCTTCAGGATTTTAGAGAGGTTTGAATCAGCATATGATTAATTTTGGAGGCAAAATTGACTCCGATATAAAACCATCCGATTGCTAATTTTGTGTTTGGGAAAATTCATTCATTCCAAAACTGAAGTCTGGTAAATTGGTATTCAGGCTGGTGAAACACCAGTTCCTCTTTTTCTGTCTTGCTTTACCCGCCTTTGGTAGAAGCTCCTATATACTCTTTCTAAATTACTTCACTAAATTAAAAAAAAAAAATATTCCAGTACCATGTAGACATAATTTTCTGTTCAACTGTAAAAATAAAGTATGTCTAAGAAACAGCAAAAATGTGAATATTTCTCTTTGAAAAGACAGAATGTGATATAAACAAGTCATTATGTCAAGTAATCCTCTCTGAAAATGGCATTTGAACTTTTCTATTTTTTATATTTTTTTGTTGTAGGTTGATCTTTTGATTAGGTTAGTCAAGCTCCTATCCCTTGGGGGAATTCAAATGAGAAAAGATGTGAGCTTTGTGATCTATGCTTAAGTATTAGCCTTGGTTTTCTGGAAAAGAAAAAAGAAAACAAAAATATCTTTTCTTGCAACCAGTAATTCTTTCTCTTTC